ATCAATATTTTCACGTATCAAGAGCATTTTTTTGTGAAACCTCATTTGCATTAATAGTTTCATTAGGTCCTATCACAGTTAAGGAATAACGAGGTCGAGAAAATCTATCCGCAGCTAAATATGCCGTATTAAGCTCGAAGAACTAACTGTAACATTAGTTAGAATTCTTCCTCTCCACAGTTTTACTTTCATTCTTTGTTTTAGCCTATTAATACAGATGCGACCGGATATCAGCTCATACGGACAGCATACCGGCATAAACATTAACTGACTTTAAATTTTTAATCAAAGATAATACCAATATCAATATTATAATAATAGTAATAATAATAATTTGTTCTCAAATAACAGTTTGTTACGTGAGGCATGTCACTTTACAGGCGAGATCAAATTGTTAAAAAAGATTCAATTATCACTGTAGTAAGTTACTGGGCTGGATTGATATTTTGTGGGATATGATTGTTTTTCTATTAGTGTGCGCAAAACACTTATACCATCCACAGGTTAACCAACGACTATTATTACACATCTCAATGTGGCTTATTAAAATATCTCTATAATAAATCATTTTTCATTATGATAATCCCACTTTGTTTAACTATTGAATGGTATTCACGTAGATTTATATCATGAACGTGTTCAGAATTAAACTGAAAATTGTGAAATTATGACGCGTATTTCACAATTTGTTCATAGTGTCTCCAATTCCATTCATCTTCCAGCCTATCAATACTTGGTGCATTCTTATTATTCTCTTGTTAACCTCTTAAATGCTATTATCCCACTCGATATAATATCAAACAAACGTCACATTGATTCTGGTGGTAGAGTATTGTAGTGGTACTAGTTCCTAACAGGAACGATTGATCGAGATGGTATGGCTCGGTCATCCAGACGTGGTCATCCCATGTAACTTCATGTGTTTGTATTTTATATATATTAGGCCTACAATATGTTTTCCAAAAGTGTTGGACGTTATACTGATTGCTGTCAGGATAGGGCGAGTCAGCGTAGACTATGTGACTTCTATGTGAGATTTATAAACTGAATAATTACACCATGACGAATCTACAATTTTGGGGTTGTGTCTATCGCTAGTCTGCCGGCTGTAATGGATTGACGGACCATCACAATCTACTGCGAGGGTTTAATTGACATACTGTGTCTCGGACTGTCGAAAGGTTTGTATAAGATTAGTCATATCCACAGTACCAATAAGCTCAAGCAGACAGATATTCAGTTACTACTGACAAACTAGCTTATACGTATCAAGATAATGGGAGTTTTAAGGTCAGTGTAGAATACTTGTAGAATTATGATGTTTCTGGTATTAGTACATTTATCTTTGCTACCATAATATTAGATCCAATCCCGAAATTGTAGATTTGTCATGCTGTGACCACTCAGTCAGTAAAATCTCACGTAGAAGTCACATCATAGTCTGACTCGTTCTATCGTGACAGTCAGCAATATAACGTAAACCACTTCTGTGTTCGGTTTAACACAAAGCCTAAAGGCAATAGTCACAAGCTAGGAGTTAACTGTACATCCTTTGTGTTCGGTCTTCCCTCGCTAACATTCAAAGCAATTTCGCAGAGTCCTTACAAATGGCAACACTTTACACTGATTTATTAGCAATCTTCTAACTTCTATCTGTTTCTTACATCGAGGTATCTACTTGGAGTCATCGGTAGCCCATTACTCCCAGACGTAAAATCTCTCTTACTTCAAGCTTCATCTCTCCCGTCAACAAATGGAGGCGGCTCTGATTGAACTGGATTTAATAATAGTCAGGTCTTACTGAAACCTTTAAGGATAGGTTGTTCCCGATAGGAGTTTTACATACAAGCACTCGTAGTTTATGGGAAAAACTTCGTAAATTAAAAGTATTTGTGGACAACTTGAAGCCACTCATTATAGCCATGATCAAAACTTGGTAGGTTTGTGGCTTTGAGGTCAGCTCAGAATTATCAGGATATGACACCCTAAAAAGTGATAAGGAGAGATACAAGAAGGAAATTTGAGTCCCTTAATGCACTGCCAATAATATGAAAATCTTTCTCTTCTTATGCGAGTCTCGTGATAGTGGAACTTGGGAAGTCGTTGTGAACTCACTTTTGAAGGCTGTACATATATACTAGGTGTCACCTATCGCAGCCTAACTTGCTCAGTCGGTGATTTTATTTTAAAGAACATTAGAACATGTAGTTAAAACATTAGATGCCTGATGTTAGGAGATTTTAATGCACCTGAGATTAGTACAGTGTGTATCCGAACCCACACATTTTGTGACAAACCAATGACGTGTGCTAGACTTCGTAATCATTCGTGAGACCGAGGATACTGCATATTTGAATATTCTCCCACTGTTATCTAGTAGCGATCATGCTGTTTTCCATTCATGTTTATAGCTTATGATATACTATGTGGTCAGGTTCGACCATGCCGAAATGTGAGCAGAGAAAACACATGAGTGTGCCACACCAAATGGACTGGTCTGTGGATACTAGATCACTGATTGAAGAAGCACGGTTGGCATTTGAAGGTGCATTTGGCTTGGCTACGTCCCCGTTTATTCCGTTCTCAGCACCATGTAAAACCAATAGCTGCCCTCAATGAATAGCTAACGGTCAAAAAAGTTCATAGACGTAAGAAAAAGTACAGCAATATGTTTAACTTTACAGGCTCTGAACAGTACAGATTCGATTATTGAAAGAATCTGAACAAATGTAAAGCGTAGAAGCAGTGGATGACCGATACTTGCAGGCAGGAACCAAGGTATATTATAGAGAAAATTGGAAAAGGAAAAAGCTGGTAAATCATAGTAAGATATTATCCTGAATCCTTAAGAATATGTCAAGTTTCCTTTTAAAGGAATCCTGGGAAGTCGTTTGGACTAGCAGCGAATTCCAGCATTTGACTACTTTTAAGGACTAGAAGTCATGTCTACAGTCAGTTCTGCTGAGTTGTGTCTCCAGTTTCTGGGTGTTACCCCTAAGTTTTGTGTTACTTTTTAAATCACATAAGTCCAGTGTTCCTGACGAAATCCATTCTGGAACCATAAATCCTGAGGTGAATGTAGTTGCTGAACCTCTGGGATTGGTGTTTGATATGTTTGTGAGGCAGTACAAACTATAAAGAAACGAGGAATGTGCATTTATAAGTCCAGCTTCTAAGGCGAGGAGTAGATACATGGAAACTATCTACCCTCCAAACTAACCAGCGTAGCCCTGAAGCTAGTAGAAAAGATTATTTTGATGGCTATTTAGAATTATGTGAAAGGAAATGACCACTTAGTCAAGGAAGAACATGGTTTTATTAAAAGCCTTTCGTTCTTGTTAAGGCCACTCACCTAAGTCCCCAACTAACATGAAGTCATGGACTGAATAAGCGACTTTCTTAGTAATATGAGACGAGGCTTCGTCAGAATGAGAATTCGTTAAAAGTGGAATCATTGTCTCTCTTTTTTTCACCTTGTATGAATAACTTACTAATAGTTTCATGGTAATTTATTCTGTCCCATGCGTAACACATCAAGATTCGGCGACCCATACGCGGTATGCCGGACAAAACAATATTACGCAATGATAATAATTAACCGGTTGATTAGATTTATAGGTGGTTACCGGAAGTTAATTCCAGAGAGTGTTTATGAAAATAAATAATCTCGACGATTTATATCACTACCTAAAGTAATGAACTATAAAACTCTAGGAGTCAGAATAAGCAGTGACCCTAGAACTATGAGTAAACGTAAGCCTGTCGCTGTCAAAGGCGCTGGGATCTTATGAGGTACTTGTAAGTAGTTATATAACATGGATCAAGAAACGTTTGGGGTATTATATCTGACGTTTATGAGGTTGATTTGGAATATGGGATCCAAGCGGAAAGTCATTGTTTCATGTACGCAGCTGATATGTTAGGGCAAATTAACGATGGAGAACCGGAATGACGAAAAATTTCACTTGTCCATCTTATGATGACAAACTGAGACACATTTCCGTTATCTTATAACAGGATTTGAGGTGATTAAATTAGAACTTACCGTATACACGATGATAATGGTAATAATATATCTTATCTCTACTTTCCATCTAGGACTGATCATTTAAGAGGAAATTCTAAGAAAGTTCAAAAACTAAGAGTAAACCGTTTGCATCTGCGTTTCCGTTTTTCGCATCGAGTAGTGGACTTCTCCTTCTGAACATGTATTATCAGCACCTTTTGTTGATGAATTCTGAGTGAGGTTAGATTTCATTAGTACTGAAAATTCCAACCATTATTATAAGTCAACTGACTTCCTATCTTCACTTCTGAGGACTGAGAAGCTGAAACCTGGTAAATTAACAACAGTTCGTGACGATTCTCTCATTATCATGAACCTCGTTGACAATCCTGAACTTCCTCTGTGTCTGCGGGACAAAAACGACAGGATGCTCTGGGGTGAATTGAACAAGAAGCTCGAACTTCCTAGAATAGAGCCTTTGGTGGTCACCCGGTTCACTCGAGGAAAGAACTCTAAGCATCTTAACCACCCAAGGCTTCTCCGAGTAACACTTAAGAATGCTACCGACGTAGAGGACGTATTACTAGCAAGTCACTTGCTGAAATCAGATGGTAACATAAGAATATTGCCCGACATACTGTACTCTGTGCGCAATATCATACGAAACATCACTAAAGAATCTCGCGAAAAGTTTTTCCGCGGAAGAAACATAATTGTGCAAGGCTTCAGTACCAGACAAAGCTTATGGGCAAATTCGCCTCTAACCCTAGAAGCCTATTCCGTTATGCAGCCTCTCTTCGTCAAGCCAAAACAAGTGTTTCGAAACTGCTAGGTCTTAACGGCCCGACCAACAATGATGGTGACGCTGCTAACCTTCTTGCGGCACATTACTCTCAAACATTTCAGCCGGCTGATATCAATTTTATTGACGACAGTTTCATCTGCAATTCCACAACCCTTTGAACCATTTGACCCATTGGACTTTGGGAACCGCGTTATCTTGACAGCTACGCTACCAAGAAGTTACTCATTTCGGGAAAGTTGATTATGTTTCCAGTATAATGAGCACTGCAGAACCGTTCGCAGGGTGGCTTTACAAATGGACAAATCTTATTAAAGGCTACAAAAAGCGTTGGTTTTTAGTGCAGGATAATTTACTCAGCTACTACCGGTAAATATAATCTTTGATTAATTTGATTTTTAAGAGAACCGGATGCAGTTGGGCGACATTGTCGTGGGACTTTCGACTTGACGAACGCCCACTTAAGTGTTCAGGAGTCTGGGTGCTCCTTTATTTTGACAGAGAGTTCCGGAAGAAAGCATCACTTCAAGGCGTTGTCCGAAGAAGATAAGGAGAATTGGATTATTGTTCTTACAGACTTAATTTCGAGATCTCAGGTTACCCATACTGGTTAGTTCGTCAATTTGAGCCTTATAAATTTACATACTGTTGCATTCTCAACGTTTTCCTGCAATAAACTTTGCTAGGTTTTACTGAACCATTGTTTTCTGAAAAAATGGATATCCGGCCACTGTCATAGCAGTAGTTATAGTCCATGACTAAAACTATGTTTACATGAGTGATTTTTTTATACGAGTGATATCTTTCTGCTCATAAATCTAAGAAACGAAAACTTTTCGCGTTTACAACATATTACCTTATTATTATTTCCAATGTTGCATAGCTAAGTTAAAACGTATTTACGTCAACATTTTTGGATTTGGGTTAAAAGCAACTAGAAGTTATCAGCCTCTGGGGTTTATTACATTTGTAACAAAGTGTTTGACCTCTGAAATTATGTCCCGCACGTGTTACAGTATCTGTCGGCGACGTGGCTACAAAACCAAATGTCGAATTAGTCCAGAAACTGATTTTTCACTGTCCTGACCACAAAATTTAAATAATTCAGCAGAAATTTTATCGCACTAATTCTGTAAAATACTGAGGAGCCACAGTCCATTAACGTGGTATATTTGTTTACATGGAACTTTCACGTTATTTAAGTGAACCTTTACGAGTCTTTTTATTGAGTTATGCCACATGTCGATAGACTATTTACCTGTGCCTTAGTCACTTAAACGATGGGAAGAATGCTAGTATTTACAGTTGCCATATACGTCCAGAGTAACTGAACCTCCGTTTAGTTTTACTTGTGTAAATTAACAGTTTCCTCTTAAAATGCTATAGAATTTAAAAAATGTTGCAATGAATTAGAAAGTATTATTGTTTTTGGGAAATGTGAACAAAGCTCGTTTTTAGAAGACTAATTTTTCGAGTTTGAATCAATGGCAAACTGTAATTCGAATTTTCTACCTCTAGTAGTGTTCATCTAGGCTTTCCAAAATACCATGTCTTATTTAACTCTTTTATCATCATATCTTAAGTAATAAGGGCCCTTAATTTTTCGGCGATCGAACTCTTACCACGAGATCCGTTTGTCGACAGAGATTGACAAAATACAGTTTTCTGACTGTATTGAGTAGTATTTCAAAGATGAGTCGTACTCAATTTAAATACGAAACACTTCTTCAAGAGAGAGAGCTTTATTTATTTATTTGAACACATAAATATTGGTACAAGAGAGCGCCAATATATATGCGCCACATAAAACAATGAAAATTAGAAGAGAGATAGAAAAAAAAACTAAGGAGCGCAAAAGAAAAAGAGAGCGATAACGAAGAGATTGGTGTAAGGTAGTGTGGTAGTAACGAGGGAACGGAAAGGTACAATCAGAAGAAATCTTTCAGGTAAGGGAGACACAACCACTTTTTATGAAGAAAGTAAAAGAAGGTTACAGCAGGATCGCCACTGGCTTCTATTCTGAGCCATATCTGATAACGTATCTAGCCACTGTGTAGCACCATCTCTCAAACCCCAACCAGGGAGTCGTGAAGGACCGACAGAAGCCAGTCCTTTGCAGCTTTCTTTCATCCCACGACACCATGTCATACACTGATCACCTCTCCGCTTCTTCCAACCAGTCCCAGAGTCAGCAAATAATGCACGACGTGGAATTCTCTGGGACGACATTCGTAGAACATGTCCAAGCCACCGAAGTCGGTGTTTCAAGATGGTGACACCAATTGAATTATCATCTCTGTGCCCAAACACACGATGCCGAACCTCTGCATTACTGACATGGTGTTGCCACTGAATATCAGCAATCCTTCGGAGACAGCGATGATCGAACACAGAGAGTCGTCTAAGGTCCTCAACTCGGAGAGGCCAGGTTTCACAAGCATAGAGCAAAACTGCTCTCACCGACGCGTTGTAGATCCGACCTTTTACAGCCAGACTAGCATCACGAAGGCGCCAAAGATGGCCCAGATTGGCATAAGCCACTCTGGCTTTCACTATACGTGCATTGATCTCATCACTCACACCCCCACCAGCACTTATGCAGCTACCCAGATACACGAACTTCTCGACTACGTCTATCTGCTCACCATCCAGGGTGAGTACAGGATTGGAATCCTGCCAGTCTTGTAGAAGTACTTTGCGCTTCGAAGGTGCAAAGCAAATACCGTACCTACGGACACTGATTGCCAGCTGATTAAGTGCGGATTGCATGCCTTGGGCATTATCGCACAGTAAGACAATATCGTCCGCATACTCAAGGTCGAGAAGTCTTTCTCCAGGCAACAGATCCACACCACCATTACTCACATCCATCAGAACTGTTTCCAGAATGTCGTCGATGGCAAAGTTGAAGAGGAATGGTGAGATTGGGCAATCCTGCCTAACCCCACTACTCGAATGGAACAATGGAGAGAGGTGGTTGTATGCCTGAGGTGTTTTTATATAGGGCTTTTAGGATGTTTATAAACTTCTCAGGCACACCCTTCTTCAATAGACAATCCCAGAGAACAGTCCTGTTCAACGAATCGAAGGCAGCCCTGATGTCAAGAAACACTACGATTGTTGGCCTTTGATAAGTATGGCGATGTTCTAACATTTGGCGGAGGGTGAAGATATAACCAATACATCCTCGACCAGAACGAAACCCAGCCTGCTCGTCGCGAGTCAATCTTTCTCGGGTTTTGAACAACCTACGAAGTATGACGGAAGCCAATAGCTTGGACGCGATCGGAAGTAGACTTATCCCCCGATAGTTTTCACAGGAACGACGTGAACCCTTTTTAAAGATAGGGACAACTATCAACTCATTCCATGACGTTGGTACACTCTCTAATTCCCAAACCTTTGTAAACAGCGTCGTCAATTCCTTAGTCAAAAAGTTACCACCATCTTTAAGAAGAGCCGGAGGTACGTCATCTGGGCCAGATGATTTGTAGCGCTTCAAGAGTTGGAGTTCCTTGCGGACTTCCTCCTCGTTTGGTGGATCAGTCGTCACTGGCCATGGAGGGCAGGACAGTCTGACCGATGTTGCCGAAGCAGCAGGCCAGTTGAACTGCCCTTCGAAAAATTCTGCCCATTGTCCAACACGTCGATGGATGTTAGTGATTGGCATCCCATCATCCTCGCAGATTGTTTCACTCACACCAAACTTCTTGCTGTCAGTGGCTCGGATGAGCTGGAAGAGCTTCCGATAGTTACCAGATGCAGCTGCTGCTTCCAACTCATTAGCACGCTCCGACCACCAGGCTTCTCGGTCCTTACGCAAGCTTTGCCCAATTTCCTTACGTAACATCCTTCGTTTATGGTCAAACTCACGGTCACCCGGAGTAGACCGACGGGCTTCAATAAGTTGTAAGGAACCAGAAGAAACCCAGTGCTTATAAGCGGGACGTTTCGCAAACCCACAACTGACCGTTCCCGCCATTTTCATGGCGTCATGCAATTGCAACCAATGCTCATCTATACCTTTCGGTGGAGTGGTAGCTAGCCTAGAGGCTAGCTCGGTTCGATACTTATTTGCAATAGAAGTTGCAACCAGCTTGCTAATATCAATCCTTTGCTGGCGGTCACTTCGTTGTCCACTGAAAAGTAAGGTAAGATTGGCGCAGACCAAGGCATGGTCAGAGTCCAGATTGGTACTCCAAAAGGAGCGGCAGTCTTTTACACAACCACGCCAGCGGTAGCTGATCGTGATGTGATCAATCTGAGTCCAGGCTTGGGATGCAGAGGGAGGATGCCAGGTGGCACATCGGCAATGACTGTGCCGAAAGTTAGTGCTAGCCAGAAACAGGTTGTGGTCTGTGCAAAGTTGCGGTAGACGGTCCCCGTTATCTGACCTGCGACCAACGAGTCCCCATCGGCCACCTAAACGACTCTCTTCTGTGCCTAGACGCCCGACCTGAGCATTTAAGTCTCCGGCTAGTACTACAATATTTGTCGAACGCACTTTCTGGAGAAGAACAGATCACTAGTGATAAAACTCATCCTTGATTGCATCCGGGCTGCAATCTGTCGGGGCATAGGCGGAGATGACGAAAAGACATCGTTTCTCACGCCGATTTCTTCTCACTTTGATGGAACTTTCTAATCTAACAGCACATAACCGACTGTTAATGGGGATCCAATCGACTAGTGCTGCCTCAGCTCTAGCGCTTAGTGCGACACCAACGCCTCAGGACCAGACGAAGATGCCACGGGGTCCCCGGATAAGCGCACGTAAAACAAGCTTTTCGAAGCGACAGATGGAGATCGAATTTGTAGTACTTCGCTAGAGTCTTGAATACGAGTCTCGGATAGACAACAAACATCAATATTAAGACTTTCCAAAGACATAGCCAGCCCTATATGTTGTCTGACCTGCACTAGTGTGCGAACGTTGAAGGTAGCCTGTTTGAATGGTGCACGTGGTTTCAGAAAAACTGCTTCAGTTCTCGTATTCGGTGGTAACATACAATTTTCAAACGGACAGCGACTCGAGAACGTTTAGATACAGTCGAATTTCTACCAAAGACGAGCCGCTGTATAATTATAAAAGAGGGTGAATAATGTGGAAAGTATTAATAATAATAATAATAATAATAGTAATAATAATAATGGTAATGATAATAATAGTATTAATAATGACAATAATCGTAATGATAATAATTTGAATCAATTTATTGTTTTTCGAAGCGAGAAAGGTAATTTCCATAGACGTAAAGAGTTCATCATTTGTATGTGGGCTGTGATACTGCCCGGGTGCCCAAACCGAAGCAGGTGGTTTTCTTAGGGGGCCACACCCCGAGCCTTTGACCTAATGGTCTAACCCACAAGGCAGTGGAACATCGTAAGGAGATGCTATCCCATGGTAGCCGGTGACCAACGATTGGTTCATACGCCATTTGTTCCTGCAGGATACTGGAGTCCATGTGCACCATTGGTTTGTCATCCGGTTAAAGCTCCGGACGTTCGCTTTTCGTCCTCTCATTTTCGTAAACACCACCCCCGCCACGAGAAGGCAATGAGTAGGACTTCCCTGGCAGAGGCTGTATACGCGCGGCCGTGTGAGAGTATTTCGAGAGGGAGAGCGGCTCTTCCTCTCTAAATGCTCTCACATGGCTACCTGTATAAAGCCACTCAGGGAAAGTCCTACTCACTGCCTTCTCGTGGCGGGGGTGGTGTTTACGAAAATGAGAGGACGAAAAGCGAATATCCGGCGCTTCAACCGGATTCCAAACCAATGGTGCACATGGGCTCCAGTATACTGCAGGAACAAATGGCGAATGAACCAATTATTTGTCACCGGCTTCCATGGGACTGCATCTCCTTACGATGCTCCACTGCCTTGTGGATCAGACCTTTGGGTCGAAGGCTCGGGGTGTGGCCCCCTAAGAAAACCACCTGCTTCGGTTTGGGCACCCGGGCAGTATCACAGCCCTCACACATATCGAATGAGATTTGTGTGGCGCATATGTATTTAGTGCCTCTTTGTACCATTATCTATGTGTTGAAATAAATAAATACTGCCTCTAAAACTCTGGGATTTGCTTTGATAATATGTTTTACTATGATAGTGTCGTATAGCAACTTGAACTGATGCATGTGTCAGGTTAACGCTATGTATTACTGATGTAGTACTGTTCTAGATAATTGTGCTATTCATGAATAACAAACAGCCTCCTAATTTATTATAGTGTACTAGCTAGAGTTCAAACTGTGTTGACAAATATTAGTATTTTAAGACTGGGGTGAAGCATCACTTTATAAAACAATTGACTGTGGTTTGTCTTAGGACGAGTGCCATTTTCCTGTTTTAAGTTTGCTTGAAAATGATGGTCAGTCATTAGAGACTCAATAACTCTAAGCAACATCTTTATGCTGTTATACGAGACGTACTTGAAAACCATCTCGTTTGCTTATCAACTTCAAACCAAATCACTTTTTTTATTTTGGAGTTTGTTATAACTCCAAGATCATGAAGAATAAAGTTATATATCTTGAGATGTGTAAATCTTGTTACGTTCATCCTTAGTCTTCACCATATCTAATTATTTGTTTTACTCCAAAAATCCTCTTTTTGTTAAAAATTTAGAGATTGAGTCAGATTATTCATCATTTAACATACTTCGACCAGACAAAGAGAACAATTGTAAGCGAAATTCTTTCAGATTTACTCTTAAAGGTCGACCAAAGTTGGATATTAAAACAACCAGTTTCCCAGTTCTCCCTCAACCGCTTGCTAACCAATCAATATCACTGAATAACTGTCAATGTGCTAGCCAATCGTGTTCACACGACGGTTTATGTAATTCAACTTTTAGTGAGAAGTTCCGAAGAATAAAGCTCAAGCACGATTTATCAAAATCCGATTCTAGGTGTGTATCAGATGCTCCAATATCAAATTCATTTTCTCTCCCTATGCATGAACCAAATGTTTCTACCAATGACCTCAAGGTAAAAAGTGATACAGGAAGACGTTTGTCTCGTCAATATGTCATTTCAATTGAAGATAGCAACCGTTTAGGAATTATAGAGGCTTTAAAGAGACGCCTACATGATCATATTAGTAACATTTGTTCTCAAGTCAGTAATATCGAGTCAATGCTTACATCAGTCTCAAGTGAATTATCCAGTTTGCTGCTGCAGCCATGTTCATTCCCATTGAATTCAGATGATCACTTTTCTGCCTCAGACCTAGAAAGACGGACTACTTCTCTTAAACTTGCCTTACTCGAACATCGTAACGACGCAAAAGAATTTTACGAGGTTAGTTTCTTCCAAGATTGTCGTAATAAATTGTTTTTACCGACAGTGCGTGTTGTGAATATTCATGCAGCTTTTCAATGTCTTTTAAAAATCCTTGCTTATCGTTCTCGTTTGACGTCATAAAACCGGGCTTGTCTTTCGCATTCTTGTTTAAACGATGCTGACTAGTCACTGTAAAGCAGCTTTTATCATTCTGTTGACTATTTGCTATGTGTTAATATTTTACATACATTAATCGTTTGTTTTAAGGTGAAAAAGATGCAGTTCTGGCAAAATTAAGTAAATTTTCACATAATGTCACTTCCTTGTTTTTGCAGCCTTTTTACTATGTTTAAGTTAAAGAATACAATCTTCGAAATTTGAAGTTGGGGGAAGTATTTATCTATTTGCTAAAATTTATTGCTTACTGAGCTATGAGGTTTGGTAAAGATAGGAGATCACTCACTATAAAATAGGTGTTTTGTGAGCTGGCAATGAAAAGTATACCTGCTATTTACATCCTGAGGAGAATATAATTGAAGTTGGGAAATTTTCCCAAAAACAAGGGAGGTGGAAATACTCCTTACTACAATCATATTTGTTAAATTCAACAACCAGCTTTTCATGGAACCCGACTTCGGCATGCAATATCTTTGGTGGTAACGGCTCAAAAGTTTTTTGCAAGCTGAGTATTGTGAGTTATATTTTGTAGCATGTGTTAAGGAAACGCGTTTGGATATTCCTGTTTGTTAATTATGGTACCTAAATCCATGAAAACTAAATATTGTGAAGGATAACCGGACTGAAAGCGATCACTGACTGTTTTATTATTGAAGCCATGAAATTTAGATCATTTTATCATATGGGTCTTACAGACAACTTCATGGACATTTAGTTTAATGGAAATCTGTCAATACAAAAATTGTCAAGTTCATTCTGTCACCATTAGAAAAAAATTAATGCTATATACCTCTTAATTTTTTCTACTAACGCAGTGCTTTTACGAACACATATTTTCGTTTTCTTCACATACATTTGAAAATATAACTTTATAGTTCTGTCGGTAGGGGTATGTAACATATATTTCTACTTCACACAATCTAATGTTCTGGTTTTGTCTAGAAAATTTACCCAAACATTACGAAATGTGTAGATTTAAAACTTCTTCCAGCTTTTAAGCCATTGGAATTTACATTTCAGTATTGAAATATGTACCCAAAGAATGTTTATTCAAACTAATGTGATTAAAATCCTTTTGTTTTGTTCTACTCATATAATATCCTTTCTCATGTTTATATTTTTGTGTTCGTGCACTGTTACTTCGCCCTTATTACATCCTTATCTCCATTGAATTGAAGTGAATCCAAGTGTTATTCCGTTTTCTTAAATTTTTCTGACTAAGCAAATATAGTAGAGCATATCAATTCATTGAAATTAATGTAGCCATTGTGAAAGAATAAACATTCATGCTCGGTTGATAAGTAGCGATTATTATATAAAGCCTAACTTTCTGAAAAAGGTTTGCAAGTGACTTATTTGTTTCTCGACTTAGTGGCCTCAAGGTCAGCAGTAAAATATGTCAAGTGTGCATAACTCAAGTAAAAAAGAAACACTTTTTGTTCCAGATGATATTGTAGTGAACAGAACACCCGTGGGGACAATTAAACGTATTGAACACAAAATTACGGGACTTGTTAATAAAATCTAACAATCATAAAGTAAATACCTAATTTGCAAAATGTCCATCCATTGTCTCAAAATGACTCAGACTTCATTGTTCTTGCATTATCATACAAATTGCATCCTGTTTTCATTCTTTACTGTTCGATCCTCTTGTCTCTCTGCTCCCAGACCATCTGTTCACGACTAACGTCATATACTAATTATGTAAATATAAGTAGCACACATCACAGTATTAGGTAGTTAAACACATGGTGATTATTTTCCGTCACAACGATAATAATAATTTGCTTGATAATACTATTAACAGATTTGAAATTTCATACATGATAACAGTTAGCTGAAGTAAGATAGTCACTATATTATCGTACTTTTTTATCGACGTAGTAGTGTGTAAAGTGGTTTATACCTTTGGCTGGAAAAAGATTGAGTCAGTAATTTAGTTTTTTATGTATTCAGAATACAATGAGAATACTTGAACTCGTTAACTGAAAATCCGTAGGTTATTTGCCTAGATTTAGTATTTACTGGTGCTTAGAGACTCGTCTACTTCAGGATATACTTTACGAATATGAATTAAAACGACTCAGCTTGTTTAAAGCTTTGAATCAGTTCTAATAGGAGGACCATTTGTCATTTTTAATTCTGTATTAACTGTGGGCACGTTTGAATATGCAACTAATCAAAATTGTACGGCACTTCGATTTTACCTACCTTTTAGCTATGAAATGTCTTTGGAGATATAATTTTGTGTAATGTGGCAGTGCGGAGTTTAAGCGAAGTGGATGCACTTTTTATTACATTGTTTTATGTTGTCTATATCTGTCACTCTATATAAACCTGTTAGACAGAAAGACATATAGTAAACATAATGAGATATTGATGGATTTCTGTGTGTGATAATGTTTATGTTTTATTGATTGGACATAAATGAACTAACTATATTTAAGATTACACTGATTCATTAATTTGCATACAATTACTAGATTATATTGTGCATTATAATTTTAATGAAACAATTTTTATTATTTTATAAAGTTCGTAAGATATCAACAGTTTAAAAATCCCCATAGAATATTCAAAAATGAAGAATATTTGAGCGAACAATTGTTTTCAATAACTTCATCATCAGGCTCTACAGTTATAAGTCCATAATTATAACTGTAGAGCCTGATGATGAAGTTATTGAAAACAATTGTTCTCTCAAATATTCTTCATTTTCGTAAGATATGTTACTAGTTAGGCTAGACTACTAAGAATGAAAACATAAAACATCAAATCCAATTCTTTGAGTGAATTCGTTTCATACAAAGAAATATAAGTGGATTGATTCATGAGGCAATGACCAATTGTTAAATTGTATTTTGCATGTAAACTTAAGTGAAATGGGCAATAGTGTAGAGATTGTTGAACATAAAGAATTATACGACTGTTTCAAAAATACAAAGATAGTTCATACTATCATGTTTTGCGTGGTGCAAAGACATAACCAATTAAGTTGTTGAATTTCTTACCATTTTGTTAAGAAGTACTGCTTTCTTGATCTACTATTTGTTTTGTTGTGGTAAATATCTATTTGGATCTACATATTTCGATTTTTGTCCTTCATCGAAGATAAAATAACTCGTTTATGCTAATCAGTAAATACTTACAATGCTTTATACTGGTGAGTGGTTCGAAAGCGAGGAATTAAAACATAACTTCTGTGCCGCTGTATAATATGTTATTGCGGTCGGAAATAAACACCACTACTATTGATTGTTTATTCAATTAATTTTGTTTTAATAATCAAACTTTAGTAGATTTATGAGTTTAGATTTTTGACTCAGTCACTGTACAATTAAAAGTATTTTCCACTATTTTCGACAGTTGCATCAAATATTATTTTAGCGTTCAACATTTTATGCACTTCAACTGATTTCCCTTTCAGTAAAATCTAGTTGGCGAATGATCTAGACGGGAATCCAGAAATCATAACTTCAAATCTTTTTAGAGTATTCAGCTACTACTAACGTGTTTTTGACAAACTAATTATTGGTTTAGATTTCTTATATCTACTTATCAAGAGGTTTTTTGAAATTATTGTTTAATTGAATCATAAGTTTATTTAAATACATGTCTGTAATTTCTCTCTGCTTCATAGGCGTCTACTGAAGCGTTGCAGTTCTTAACTGGAACTTATGCTCGATTCAGTCGACAACTTGTTTTAGAACAAGAACGTTGTATAACATTGGAGAGGACCGTTGAACAGTTGGCTAAAGAATTACGTAGTTTGGAAATTCAGTTAAAATATCATATTCCTTTGGTTGTTGAAGACAAACATATAAATCAAATTCAATCTGAAGGTATTAATTTTTTCACATTATTTGGACTTGTTAACCTCATTTCTTGTTATTTCTTTGAAGTTTACTATAATGCAGTAGCAGCCGAACAGTCTATACATTTGACCTTCATTTATTTGTGTTGATTTTGAACCTCAATCTTACTTCATGGTTTTGGATAGTTGGATAGCACAACTAACTGTCAAACTTTGCGTGTTTTTATATATGGAACTCTTCCTTGTAAATCGTCCAATCTATAGATGTTCACCAGACTCGTGTTTTACAAGAGGTCAAATGTATTCCGTTTAGTTTGTTTACTACATGTACTTTAATATAATTCACTAAATACATGCTTATGTAATCTGCTTTAAGCCACATTTGTACGAGATTCAGTGTACTATATGGTTGCCAAAACTGAGGTAAGTAGAGGGAACTCAGTCCTAAAACTTGAAGGTTGAAAGACCTGATGTTGTTACCTTTCGATGAGCAACGTTAAGTATAGGACCTAGGTAAATCAAGGTCACTTCTATCATGATTACGTTCTATTGTCCGCTTTTCCTCTGTTTATTTGAATCTGCTTTTCAAAATAGACCATTTTACATAGTAATTATGTTGATAATTGAATGTAGTATGCATATCTTTCCAAGTGGTATTGTGTATACACATATTCATTAGATGTTTACATTTTATGTGAAAGATGTACTACTTTTTAGTTTGTACAATAGATTCTATTTTCACAATACTTTATTTTAAGTAATATAGTCAATTGACTCCTTTTAATCAGTCTTAATACATATGTTTTTCCTCCTATCTTAATATATATCACTCTGCAAAAATGTATTTTTTAACTTTGCTAACATTCTTAAACATGAGCTCCAATCGAATTCAATCCCGAGTTTGTTTTCTTTCTCCTTTGAGATACAAAAATGTGATCTTCATATGAACAACATACCAAGTTAAATTATGTAAGAGTATTACAACATGTGATATCAATGCAAAAGTTCATGTATAACCGTGAATGTGAATCTGCTTACAACTGTTATGTTGATATCTTTCTTGTTGTATTAAGTATAGTGACTAACAATGTCATTTAAAGTCTATATTTTCTATCGTGTAAGAGGTTGATGGATATCTATGATATTCCTCTTAGCACTCGAACGTAGTACTTAGTATTTCAAACGCTGAAGAATGTATCCATCAGACAACTGAATCGTGATGTCTAACTAGTCCGTTCTTCCAATACGTTATTTTATTATTTCTAAGAATTTTCCATTGTTCTGTTGTTCGTATTCATGATCGAATTGACATGTTCTAGATTTCACTATTCACCATTCAAAATGTTAATATGTATAAGTCAGAGTATAATCCTTTTTAAGAATTCCTACACCAAAGTATAGTGTTCGATTCTTATCTTGAATATCAGCAAAAGACAAGCTTCAACTTTTATAAATTAAAAAAATGTCTCTTTTTAGTTTTTGCTCTTTCTTGGTGTAAATATTTTTCCTTTCATTCGCATAAATTATTTTCAATTTCTGTCTTTCTATATATAGAATGTGGTAGCCTGAACAATATCACAATTTATCGAGTCTTATATTGTTCTTATCTTAATCTCCTATGTATTCCAGTGTATCGCGCAATTAGATTTATCCTGCTTTATTCAGCTGTATATATCACTTTGGTTGACCGTTTTGTGTTATTTCAAAACATTTACTCAAAGTTGTTTGTATTTACATGAATAACCAGTTATGTCTTTTTCCAGTGTTAACGAATGATTTACTAATTGTGAAGTCTTGAAAACGTTCCTTGAAAAATTGTTGTTCTAGTTTCGTTTTAAATAATCAGTGAGTGAACGCTTTTTTTAGAGACTCATAATTTACTTGTTTTACAAATGAGAACTAAAAGTTTGTTGTATCCGAATTTTAAAGTACTTTAGTCATTCTGATCAAGTCGGTATATTTGAATGATTTAAATAATTCATTTTCATTTATTGGGTCACAAGTTCGAATTCCATCTCATCTACTTTTTCATATGAACTGTTTGGTTGTGTAATTTCTAATCCTCATGCAATAGGTAATTAACTCAAAATGGAATGCACAAACTTTTATTGATTTGCAATTTCATCCATATTTGCGTTACTTTCAGTAATACTATAATAGTATGCTTACTACTTGTAGTAATTAATCGGTTTAAGGTTATATCAGAAAATAACATCAAAATTAAGAAAGTATTCTAAAGCTAAAGAAGAATATAAGAAAATGGGCGAAAATTGGTTTATGAATGATAAATAGATCATTTCAAGTATGATATCAGGTATCGATTGGTGAGCGATGTTGGTTTTGACTTACGTCGACTATTCTTGTCAAACGTGAGTTTCCACTATATTTGGGATTTAAACATTGATGGTTTCTTCAAGTTCTTCAGGTATGACCCGGGGTGTTGAAAAGTTTCGCTGCATATCAAGATTCTCGCATAAAATGTTCCGAGAAAGACCTGCTCATTATTTTCGAATGGTGAAGGTCTACTCACAAAAGTAAGTGGATCCTATTATATGAACATTTCATCCAGCAAACATGAACTGTTAACTCACAGGTTGGAACCAGTGATTCTAAGGTTCTAGAGTAACAGATAGTTTTACTTGTTAAAGTGAGTATAAAATACTAGATACTACTTAATTGTCTAGTAAATTATACTTTTGGATTAAATATTTTGAAAGGTATCCGCTAAGAAGAACGCCACTTTTCATTTAAGTGCCTGGTGTATATCACAAACCTCACATTGACAATGATAATCCGAAGTAAAGAATACTCATAATCTGGCATTTTAATCATTACTATTTTGAACAAGGTCATTCCTATATATGTGGTATATCTTTCCCTTCTTATTACCACTCTTCCTCACATCATCTCCAATCTTTTTTCTAACTGCCTTGTCATTTCTGTTACATATCAAGTCTGAAACGTCGTGGTTGATCAAATTGTTTCTTTACAGATTCGACTTTTGATATAGTTATTTAGAAACAATATAATTTGTCTAAACTTTAATTCTTCAACTTTCTAACCCTAGTACAGATGTGGTAACACATAGGTTTGGTTAAAACTGATAGGTATCTCATGAACCCATAATTGATATTCAAGTAAATTATTGAGAGTTTATTATCCATTTATCAATTCCAAATTCTATTCTATTGTATCAGTACTGGCATGTCGCGTAATCGGTCTCTGCTACATTAAATTGGTGCATCACTATTCACTTATATACTTATTAATAATCAATCATGTTGTTCTAAATTGGGTTCGTTGTTATTAACGAGTAAAGGGAAAATATCTTGATCGACAAAAGAATATATAAATTTTGCAGATCTCATTCGACTGCTTAAGGTGATTGTGACCGAGTGATCAGTGCTCGCAAGTATGAATTATTAATGCAGTGCCCACTATGAACAGATATCAAAAAGGTTGTACTCGTCAAAAAAAGATGAGTTGTTTTATGCAACAAAATAACGCACTCATTTACAAAACATTCATACAAATTAAACAAGAATGAATTTAAATTCACTTGGTGTTGTTTGACTTGTATCTTCCCATTGAGGTTTAAGACTGCAATTGATCAGTCTGTTATTGGCATATGTGCATACTGTGCATATGCGTCCTGGATTCCACTGCTAGCAACTATCCATCATTGCTTACAAAAAGAATGAATTTAGTTTAAAACGTAGCTATTTGAGCTCCCAAGCTTTCAATGGTAGTCTAACTAAATTTAGTTCGTGATATGGAGTCTATGAAAATTCTGTGATCTTCACAAAACTTTACACTGGTTGTAAGATACTTATAAGCCAACCTGATAGAATTAACTCCTGGTTTTCGGATTTAATTCTTATCTGCCCTACCAAAACCTAGATCTTTTAGTGACATTTATATACGATCCAACAAATTGTAGTTGGGATGTAGCCGAAAATGAGTTATTCTGTCAGTTGAGTAGTGTTTTAAACAAAACACTGTCAAAGGATTTCATGGTTCTGTGTGGTTCTTAAATGTGCAAACCGTGTGCGTGGAAGAATTACAAATTTTCTCTAGGGTGACCGATAATATCTTGAAGGTCAGACTTCGTGCAATAAAAACTAACTTGTGAAGCTTCTTGTATATCACAGCCTATTTTTGTCCACTACAAACAAGTAGGGCCCTCTATGCTACTTACTCACTTACTTAATTACGCCTGTTACTCCTCGTGAAGGAGCATAAGCCGCTCACCAGCATTCTCCATCCAACCCTGTCCTGGGCAATCCTTTCCAGCTCCTTCCAGTTCCTATACATTCTTTTCGTATCTGCTTCTATTACCCGACCTAATGTGTTCTTAGGCCTTCCTCTTTTCCGCTTCCCTTCAGGATTCCAAGTTAGCGCTTGCCTCGTGATGCAGTTTGATGAGTTGCGTAATGTATGCCCTATCCATTTCCATCGTCTTTTCCTAATTTCTTCTTCAGCTGGAAGCTGATTTGTTCTCTCCCAGAGAAGGCTGTTGCTGGATGTTGAGTATCTTGCGAAGACAGCTATTTATAAATACTTGTACCTTCTTGATGGTGGTTGTTGTAGTTCTCCAAGTTTCAGCTCCATACAGTAGAACTGCCTTGACGTTCGTATTGAAGATTCTCACTTTGATATTGGTTGAAAGTTGTTTTGAGTTCCATATGTTATTCAGTTGTAGGAATGCGACCCTTGCTTTGCCAATCCTTGCCTTTACGTCTGAATCCGAGCCTCCTTGTTCATCGATGAAGCTTCCCAGGTATGTGAAGGATTCTACATCATCCAGAGTTTTGCCATCAAGAGTGATTGGATTGCTGTTCTCCGCCTTGAATTTTTGAGGACCTTGGTTTTCCCTTTGTGTATGCTGAGGCCTACTGATGCAGAGACTGCTGCCACACTGGCTGTCTTTGTCTGCATCTGTTCGTGTGTATGCGATAGGAGGGCTAAGTCATCTGCGAAGTCCAAATCGTCTAATTGGTTCTGAGCTGTCCATTGTATTCCGTGTTT